GTGGAGTGTAGGCCTCAGATTATTGCAATGTGAGGCAGGAGAACTGGGCCAGTTGCAAAGGTTGCTGGGGAAAAGAAAGGCGTTGGTGGTGGTTTATAGACCTGCTTCTGGTCAGCTGAGAGGAAAGAGGAGAAAGTGTAAGTGTCCAAGCTGAAACCCAGAGTTCAGACCCATCCTCTCAAATACAAGATGAGGGAGAAGCTTGATGAGAAGGGGGCTTGGGGAAGCAACAGTGATGGACTTCTCCAGTTTGCAGCCCTAGAACATGTCTGTCCTGCAAAGCAAGGCCCCATGACTTGAGGTCAGCCAGGACTAAAAGAGGGTCTAGGCCAGAGATAGCCCAGGATTCAAGAAGATCAATGCCACAAATGGCATCTCCTTGGCCACATGGCTCTCCATACCCCTCTGGTTGCCTGCTAACTGCATGGAGCTTGGTTCAAGCAGCCTCTGGCTGGAATTGTGCTCACTGACCCTTCTGGGGACATTTGCCTGACTCCAGGGCCAACACAGCCACACCAGCTAAGTATCAGATGCAGAGGCATCCTTTGTGGCTTTGCTGCCAGTCACAGGCCCGTGGCCCAGGCTGAGGGCAGGGCTTGAGTGTGTTTTCCGGAGAGCTGAGTCATCCCCTTCTAGAGTAGCCAGCCGGGCCTCAATCCGCTCCAGGTCATCTGAGCCCACTTTGATTTTCACGGTCAGGAGGTGGATGTAGGTCTCATAACGGCTTTTCTGGGAAAGGGGCAGACAAAAGCCAAAAACAAAGTCAAAAGAGATATGACAAAATGGAGATAGGAGATCCACCTTGGAAAACTAGTAGCAAAACACTGCCCTCAGAGGTGTGCAAGGAGTTCTTGCAATCAATATAAAGGAAACAAACTACCCAATAAAAAATAGGCAGACTACATACACCTAGGTCTCACTCATCATTGTTTTGAGACATCATCTCACTGTGTATCGCTGGCTGGTCTGGAACTCACTCTGCAAACCAGACTGACCTTGAACTTACAGTGACCCTCTTGCCTCAACTTCCTGAGTACTGGGATTATTGTCAGCCCCATCATGCCCAGCTTCTCACTTACAACTTGGAAATACAAATGATGTCAATGATTTCTTAGATATAACATGAAAGACATGGGCAATCAAGGCAAGAATGGACAAATGGGGCTGCATTGATATTTAAAACTTCTGTGATTTGAAGGATAAGGAAATTATATTTAATGAGCACAAAATTTCCATTTTGGGAGATAGAAAAGTCTGAAAATTGGCACAACAATGAGAATAATCGCTACTGAGCTACACACTTAAAAGTGATCAAGATGGCACAATTATGTGTTGCCACAATTAAAATTTTAAAATTTGGGGGTTGGAGGGATGGCTCAGTCAAGGGTGCTGGCTGCCCATGCAGGTGACCTGAGTTCAGTTCTCAGCATCCATGTTAGGCAGCTCACAACCCCTGTAACTTTAGCACCAAGGGATCTGATCCCTCTCCTGGCCTTCACAGGCATCAGCAAACAAGTGTGCAGAGCACACACGGGCACACATAAATAAAAGGAAATATTTTAATTAAAAATGTAAGATCTAAATTAAAATAGTAATAAGACAATGACTGTGAAACTTGTGAGGTCCATTGAAGATTGAAGTGTTTCCAAATGCCCAGTGTTGGTAAGGGCGTGAGGAAAAGGGTAATCACTTAGAAGGAATGCAATTGCTGTCAACCTAGCAGTGTCTGAGCACCTTGACTCTGAGCTTCAGGCCTTCTCCAATATCAGGGGAGCCTTTCCCCCCAGTTCTGCCTTCCAGGCTTCATGTCCTCCCCACCCATATCAAGCCAGTAAGAGAGGACTCAGATGCCAGAGTTGCAGCCAGTAACCTGGTGAGGATTCTGCTCTTCCTGAGAGTGTCACCTCAGGCCAGCACTCTGGCTTCTCTGTGCATCTTCTTACCTTTCTATCAAATAGGTATAGTTACAGAAACCCTTCCACAGCATTGACATGAAAGCCAATGTAACTCAGCCCAAGCAAGGAAGGGAAGACAGCCAGACCTCACCCCAAAGCAAGCCCACAACAGCTGCTGTCATCTCTGTTTTCACACTGTAGAGTAGATGTTAGAGGCTCCCGGAGAGACCCAGGCATAGGCAAAACTGATCAAGTTTTGACAGCCAGACTGTGCGAGACTGACCACAGCACACTGTGGCTTACACCTGCCTAAGAGAGCCCCAGAGTAGGGGAGTCTCAAACCAGAGTCCCTGGCATGTTGATGGCAGGAAGTGGAGGGTGGGAACCAGCCTCCTCCTCTGGCCCCAGCTTTGACCTCTGCCATTCGCTTCCCAGACCTACCTCAAATGTGAGATAGTGTTCCTTTAGCCGGTATTCCTCCGCCTCCTTGGACTTGAGGCCTCTCTCCACTGGGTGACACCTGTGCTCAGCCAGCTCTGCAGTCACCTGCCTCAGCTTATTCTCGTGAGACCGCAGCTGCTCCTCCTACAAAGACAAGCCCACGTTTATAAGGTCTGGAATATCACAGGGGTGGGCTAACCCCATCACACTGGAAGTGGCTTCACCAAAGGAAAACTGGTGCCGACCAGAGCCCTCAAATTCATACATGGGTGCAGAGGTGGGCTCTAGATGTGAATGCTCCTTCCAGCTTCCTTTCCTCCCTCCTCACAGGAACGTCAGCCCCCCTCAGTGCCCCCAGGCTCAGGAGATAAGAGAGCTTTGCATCTGCAGGTACGCACACACACTGTGAAACAGACAGCACCACCACGGCCCCTTGCATAGAATTCCACATGTACACCCAAGCATGCTGGGTCAGCCTGGCCCCAGTTCCCGACCTCTACACAGCACATGCAGCCCCTCACAGCCATTCTAATTTGTACATAACAGTTGCAGATCCAGAGCACGTCTAAAGGTAGACTGAGACATTGTCACTAGCTGGCCGGTGCACACACCACAGTGAGGAGGCCCCTTTAGGCAATCTGTATACACGGATGCGTGGATACACATCCAGGGGTGCTTGTGTGCATATGTGTGCTCATTCAGAGTGTGTGTGTGTGTGTGGTGTGTCTGTGCTCACTGTGCACACACACAGGAGCTCCACGCAGACATGGAATGCCCTGAAGCTCTGTGGAGAGACAAAGGCCCTGATAGGAAAGGGGCCAATGGCTGAGGAAGAAAGTTTGAACCTTGCTGGCCTTCTGTTCTCAAGTTCTGGTCTATCCTTTATCCTGCCCTGTCCAAAATACCCTGAGAATATGTGGTATTAGTGAGACGGGGTTTTCACAGCAATATAACCAAAGTACTTAAAGATTAAAAAAAAAAAAAAAAGAATATTGTCCTGCCTAGTTTAACATCAGTTTGACGCAAGCTAGAGTTGTCTAAAAGGAGGAAAACTCCCACTGTAGGGCATTTTCTTCATTAGTGATTGATAGGGGAGGGCCAAGTCCATCCTGGGTAGTGCCCTGGGATGGTGGTGCTGGGTTCTATAAGAAAGCAAGCTGAGCAAGCCAGGGGAAGGAAGCCAGTAAGCAGCACTTCTCCATGGCCTCTGCATCAGCTCCTGCCTCCAGGTTCCTGCCCTGCTTGAATTCCTGCTCTCACTGCTTTTGATGATGAACTGTTGTATGGAACTGTGAGTGAAATAAACCCTTTCCTCCCCAAGTTGCTTTGGTCATGGTGTTTCATCACAGCAATAACCCTGACTAAGACAGATGTCAACTTGGACTTCTAAAAAGTGAAAAATAGGAACTAGAGAGATGGCTTCATGGTAAAGAGAATTGGCTTCTCTCCCAGAGGACCTGGATTCAATTCCCAGCACCCACAAATGGCTCACAAACATCTGCAATCTCAGTTCCTGGAGATCTTATGCCCTCACCTGACCTCTGAAGGCACCAGGCACATGCATAGTGCACAGACATATAGTCTGGAAAAACACCCATACACATAAAATAAAATAAATGAAGTATGAAAATATGTTTTATAAGAAAAGCTGGGTGGTGGTGGCGCACGCCTTTAACCCCAGCACTTGGGAGGCAGAGGCAGGCGGATCTCAGTGAGTTCGAGGCCAGCCTGGTCTACAAAGAGAGTTCCAGGACAGCCAGGACTGTTACAAAGAGAAAAACCTGTCTCAAAACAACAACAACAACAAAAACACATAACACAAACGCTTGTGAAGACTGGAGGAATGGAGCCCTCACAAACTGTAGGTGGAACTGTAAATTAGTAAGTATATTTACTGAGGAAATTACTATGGATGGAAGCTCAACAAAAAACTGAAAATAGAGGAGGCCACGGAGATAGTTCAGTGGGTAAACTGCTTGCTGAACAATACAAATAACCTGAATTAGATCCCAGAAGCCATGTAAAGGTAGAGAGAGCAGACTCTACCAAGTTGTCCTCTGACACCCACACATGCTATGCCACACAAGGTACACACACAAAATAATAAATAAAATTTAAAAAACTACCATGCTCCAACCATATCGTTGCTGGGAATACACCCAAAGGAACCCAAGTCAGCACACCACAGCAATACTGCACACCCATGCATTCACACCCGTGCGTTCACACCCATGCGTCTTGCAGCACTGTTCACAACAGCCAAGTGACAGAATCAGTCTAGCTGTCTGCCAACAGATGAATGGATTCAGAAATGTAGTGTATATACACAGGAAGTTTTATTCAGCCATAAAGACTGAATTATGGGGCCTGAAAAGATAGCTCAGCAGTTAAGAGCACTTACTGCTCTTCCAGAGGAACCAGGTTCAGTTCCCAGCACCCACAGCAGGTGGCTCACAACTTCCTGATACTCCAATTCCAGGGAATCTGATGTCCTCTTCTGTTCTGGGCTCTGTGGGCACCTGCATGCATGTGGTGCAGATAAACTCACACAGGAACTCATACACCATACATAAATTTTGAAAACTAAAAATTAAACTATGCCATTTATAAGAAAATTGGTGTAAAGATCATGTTAAGCAGGATGTCACACACACACACACACACACACACACACACACACACACGTGTGCACACACACACACACAATGCACACTGTGCATGCATAAATGGTTTTTTTGGGGGGGGGATTCTGTGTTCTTTTTCTGTGGTTTGGTTTCCCTGTGGCTTTGGAGGCTGTCCTGGAACTAGCTGTTGTAGACCAGGCTGGTCTCGAACTCACAGAGATCCGCCTGCCTCTGCCTCCCGAGTGCTGGGATTAAAGGCATGCGCCACCAACGCCCGGCTGCGCATGCGTAGATGTGCATGCATACACACATACACAAATAAATCAACATTTAAACAGGTCAATGGAGCACTGGATGAAGAGCCACCCAAGTCTCACCTGTCCCTTTGACACATAGAGCCTCTCAATTCATGCCACAGACCCACAATCACACCCACACAGCCGCACTGCCACTGGCAGGGAGGCTTGCCAATCACAGCACTGTCAGGCTTCTGTGTGCTGTGTGTGGGGGTCGCTATCTTCCCACCTGTTAGTGAATATATCTCCTCCCCTGTTGTCCCTCAGCCCAAGGCCACATGACCCAGAGGCAGAGCTAAGCTGAG